ATATATATGCATACTGTTGAGGGTTCAGCCTCCTAATGAGTCGGTGAAACTCCGGCGAAACAGTTTGTCACAGCCCCTCGTTTGTTGTCCTCTTCTCCCTCTCTGCCTACGGTTTACCGGGCAGTTCTATTTTACGATATTTATATATATGGTGGTCTAGAGCACGAAACGCTCTACATCCCTATATATATGACGTATTTTTTGGGGGGGGGATTCGTCACTTTGTACGGGACTGGCCGTACGGCCGTACGACGCACGGGGGGCAACACAGCTACCAATCAATCAATCAATCAAGATGCTTTTTTTTTTTTTTTCTCAACCCACCCCCTCCTGATATTCCTCTTTTTTTATTTTTTTTCTTGGAGGGGGTGGGGTTCCGGTTGCACAACGGTCCACAACCCCAATCTGCCCTCAAACCCTTTCCGCCCCCCACACACTGGCCGCCACACGGCCGTAGCCGTGGCCGCAGATGGCCGCCTCCAGGGGAGATTCATAGCCTGCCGGCACACACACAGAGAGAGAGAGAGAGAGAGAGAGAGAGAGAGAGAGAGAGAGAGAGAGAAAGAGAGAGAGAGAGAGAGAGAGAGAGAGAGAGAGATCGGATGCAACAACATACAGGGAGGGAAGCCGTGGCAGTGAATGGGGGCGGAGAGGGCAGGTGAGGGAGGAGGAGAAGAAGGGGAGCGTGGGGAAGGGAGGAAGAGGGAGATGGTGGCTTACCTCGACAGCTGGAAGCAGGGACGTGGAGCGGCTCGTGGCGGATGCCGGCAGTGAAGTGAGCGCTCAGGCTGTGGTCCCTTCGAAGACGTTCGAATTCGAACGGCTACCGGTTTCGCGCCTCTTGGAAGGGACCACGAGCGTTAGTACGCAATTGTCCAAAGGAACGACGGCCCAGAGGCAGACCAGCCGACGTGGCTGACTGAAGTGCAGCAACAAATTCATGTCGTTCGATACTTTTGCAGGGCCGAGTTTGAAATGCATTTCAAACTCAGGCCCTGACTGAAATGCAGAAACCGTGTTTGTACTGCAATTTCAAACTCAACGACCGCCGCGTAGTTTCCCCTTCTTTCTTTCTGTCTTTCTTTCTTTCTTTGTTTTCCCCCAGAGAAAAACACACATGCCCCTTCCATGATTGATTTCTTTTCTGAGTGTTTATTGTCTTTATGTGTTATCCTGTAGCACTTTTTCACTCTGACTGTGGATTAATTTTCCAGATGGGCAGTGAATTTGTTCTCCGCTCATTCCCATTCTTCTGGATTAAAGGGGAGGGAAACGGCAGGCATTGACATAATGACATTTCATAACCCCACCAGCCACACCAGCCATCCTTACTCGTCTCCCGCTACCCTTACGTCTTCCCCCGATAACTTGTGTCCAGAGCTCTTCGGAATACTGTGCAGTTCATCCTTTCTTATTAGCTTCAAGTTGGAAAATCTCAGATAAGCTGACTCTTTGGAGTTCTTTGGAATCTCCAGCGGCCTAGCTCAGTTGGTAAGGTATGCAAGTGGCATTGAGGAGGTCGTGGGTTCAATTCCCATTAGCCTCATGTACCTTCCTGGGCAAGCTTGGCGCCCACCACCTAGGGATATGCCGTTGGTCCCCCCAAGTGGCATTGAGCAGAGACCGCTGATGTTCAGGGTTCCCTGTAATACTATAATGCCAATAAGAAAGGCCGTCCTGTCCAAATAAATATAGTTAATTAAATTGGTTGGGCTTAAAGAATTCGAACCGTTCCCTGTAATACTATAATGCCAATAAAAAAAGCCTGAAGGGCCGTCCTGTCGAGATTCAACAGGTAATTAAAATTGATGCCAATAAAAAAAGCCTGAAGGGCCGTCCTGTCCAGATTCAACAGGTAATTAAAATTGCCCTTGTACTACCGGCTGTCCCCTAGCCCGTATCGCCAGCCCGTACCGCCCACCTGCAGGTCGGGACCAGCCCCCGCATGTTCTCTCGTGAACACGGTTCTTGCTGCTACGGGTTCCCCGTACGCGTACAATTAGGAGTAGTGGTAGGTGAGTAGTGTGAGGTGAAATTGAGAGAAGATCATAGCTTTAAAAAAAAAAAAAAAAAAAGGGAATCCTGTCCACTTCATCTTTTCTTATTAGTTTGGAAAATCTTGCTCCTGGAGGGTTGGTTCAAAGGCTTGAAGAGATGTCAATGAACTTTCCCTTTTGTTGACTTCATCTTTATGATAGCATGAGGAGGGGCAACAGAGGAGGCCTCAATGACTGAGTCCCCCCCTTCTCTAACCAGGGGGTCTTGTTTTTTCGAGCCGCTATCCAGGCCGAACCCAGTCCAACGGCCATTTTGTCAAAATGGGCATTTATGATTTTTTGACAGAAATCGAAACAGACGAAATTGGCCCCAAAAATGTCAAAATTCATAGCTCTCAAAGGTGCTATGTTCTTAAAACGCTGAACCCCCTGGATGTATCTGGACTTATCTGGAGTCCAGGACTGACCACGTCTGGCCGCAGCCAAAACAGGAAGGGGCAGCACCAGCAGAAGCCGAAAATGATGTGCGATTAATAATTATCTCGGTCTTCTTCAACTTCTTCTTGTAAAATATGTTTTCCAAAGTTTGAGGAAAGGGAAGAGTCTGAGAGCTCTTTTCCCGTCCTTATAGAGTAAAACAATCAAACATAAAGGGGGTTCGAGATTATCATTAATAGCACATCTCAGGTAGATCATGCCCCACCGAAATTTGTTTATGCCCAAATTTCGAAAGGCAAAAATACAACGACGATTCGAGGACCAATCAAACAATCAAACAATCAAGGCAAACATCCCAAGGCAAAAATACAACAACGTTGTTCCTCGAATCGATCTACCTGCAACTTGTTCCTCGAATCGTCGTTGTATTTTTGCCTTGGGCACTGGTCCCTTACAAAAAAAACAAGGAAAAGAGAGAGAGAGAGAGAGAGAGAGAGAGAGAGAGAGAGAGAGAGAGAATGATGACGTAGGGGAAACACTTGTCACGAAAGGCGACCAGGATGGCGGTAAGAATATTAGAGGAAAACGCGGCACGAATCCCGATACATCGTAAGTATACACACAAAGACCAAACTTCGCGCAGCCTAAGTGCGTCTACTGCCCGGTCGCAGTCTTCTTCAGGGGTCCAGACTCCAGAGTCCCTTCTACTGTTCTTCATACTTCATACCAGACCCGCTACGAATCTCAAGGCAACATCTCTCTCTCTCTCTCTCTCTCTATCTCTCTCTCTCTCTCTCTCTCTCTCTCTCTCTCGTTTTTTAAACCGTTGAATACATCCTCTCTCTCTCTCTCTCTCTCTCTCTCTCTCTCTCTCCCCCCTCGTTTTTAAAGTAACTTACGGTGTTATTCTCTCAAATTCCTTCATTTTCCACTCCCTACCTAGTACCTACCACTACTACTAAGCCTGTACAGGGGAAGCCTGCAAGCATAATACCTGCGTTTAACAACCCGACTGCTGAGCAGTTAAAAAATAAATTAAAAAATTAAAAAATTAAAAAATTCATAGTATAGTACAAACCGGCGAAGAATCACCCAGAATTGAACTGCCAAAATTTCTGGACCTACACACACAAAAAACAAATCTGGATTTCGCAATTGTTCCAAGTTTTCCTAATTTTAAAATTGCTAAAATTACAAGCCCGCGAAGAACCGGGAAAGAAATTTACGATGGCCAACAATGTACAATACTACAAATCTCCACAGCGGGCATACTCTCACACGGAGAATTTTTTTGCTTCACTCTGGACGTGATTGCGGTCAGATTCGTCCGTCTCTGGCAGTAATTGCAGTCAGATACGTGGAGGAATTCCCACTCTCAGCACTCTGCCTTTTTATCCTTTTAACTCGTCCTCTTCTTCCCCTCTGGAATACGATCCCTTGGAACAGGGGGAATTCGTAAAAAAAAAAAAAAAAAAAAAAAAAAAAAAAAAAACAGGAGGGATTAAACGTTTCTGACCGTTGACTTTTACCGTTGACCGCTGACCTTTGACTGTTGACCTGCAAAATCAACGGTCAGGAAATCTTAATCCCGGCTGGTCAAATCGTGCCGCCTGTTCTCCTCAAGCTGTGCTAAGCGTTCCGCTCCCGCCCAAAAAGATGGACCATTCGCGCCAAAAAAATGCTCGCATTGATCTTCCGCCCCCGCCAAAAAAGATCCACCGTTCGCGGCAAAAAAACGATGGCATTGATCTTCCGCTCCCGCTAAAAAAGATCAACCATTCGCGCCAAAAAAAAGTTCGCATTGATCTTCCGCTCCCGCCAAAAAAGATCCAACATTCGCGCCAAAAAAAGGCTCGCAATGATCTTGCACTCCCGCCAAAAAAGATGGACAAATCGCGCCAAATAAATGCTCGCATTGATCTTCAGCTCCCGCCAATAAAGATCCACCATTCGCGGCAAAAAAAAGATGGCATTGATCTTCCGCTCCCGCCAATAAAGATCCACCATTCGCGGCAAAAAAAAGATGGCATTGATCTTCCGCTCCCGCCAAAAATATCAACCATTCGCGCCAAAAAAAGCTCGTATTGATCTTCCGCTCCCGCCAAAGAAGATCCACTCGCGCCAACGAAAAAATCGCATGGATCTTCCACTCCCGCCAAAAAAGATCCACCATTCGCGCCAAAAAAAGAGCGCGATGATCTGCCTTATTCAATGCCGAATAACGGACAAGAAGATTCTGACCATGCGTTTTCCAAAAGTAGACAGCAAGGTCGCGACCCCATCCGATTTTCAAAAGAAGACGGGAAGGTCGCGACCCCATCCGATAACCAAAAAAATGGGCGGGAAGGTCGCAATCCTATCCGATTTCCAAAAATAGACAGGAAGGTCGCAACCATCCGATGCAGTCATCCGATTTCCAAAAATGGAAGGGAAAAATAATAATAATAATAATAATAATAATAATAATAATAATAATAATAAACTAAAAGATAAAATAAAATAAATGGACGGGATGGTCGCGATCCCATCCGATTTCCAAAAATAGATGAGAAATTCGCAACCATC